CCCCACCCCCACAGGCCCTAGAACCTTCTTCTCCAGCCCCTTATGCCCTGAGATGGGCGGGCCTGACCTGCAGTAGGCGAGTGAGCTTGCTGTCCCGGTAAGGCACACGAGGGAGGCCCTGGTTCAGTGCATCCACCACCTTGCCCAGTACAAATAGGGATGTATTGATGGCCCCACTCTCCTTCAGGCGAAGGCCTTTGTTGCCTGTGCGCCGGTTATCCTCTGAGCCGGCCAAGTCAATCAGGTAGAGTTTTCCCTCTCGTTGGCGAAATGGGGCCAAACGTTCCCGCTGATCCACCTGGGGGTAAGAACAAAGGTCTCATGCTTAGCTCAGGCTTCAGGGGCTTCCCCCCTGTTTAGGTCCTCACCCCTGTTGTAGGCCTCACCTTGACCAGAAGCACAGCGTGACTGCGGGAGGAACGCTGATTGAGCCGAGTGGCTCCCACAGTCCGATTCCGACTAGCTGGCAGAAAGTACCGCTCAAAATCAGCAAAGCTGGTGATGGGTTTCTGGGTGAGGCCAGGAATCAGGATGTTTCCCCGACAGTCTTCTCGGATCACCAGGTCTCCTGATGCAGGATCCAAGAGGTCCAATACCTGTTCGAGTAGTGAGCAGTAAGGGCAATTCTCCATACAGCGTCTGCTTGTTTCTTAGGAATGAGTCTTCTTTTCTCTGCTGGATTGTCAAGAGTTGTACCATCTGCTACCCCAAGCTCTTTCTTTCTAGGTCTTTCTCCTCTCTAGAGCAGAGCTTCATGTTCTAGAACTGGTTTCTCCTCTCTCAAATCAGAGTGGGGCCTTACCTTTTCCTGGTAGATCTCTAAGTAGGACATAGTGACGGAGAGGGCCCATGGCTGGCCCTCAGCACCCTCCTCCCTTGTGAGCTGTAGGAGGTCCATGAGAGCCCGAGGAATCACTCCAGGTTGCTCTGGGCTGCCCAGCATTGTGTGTGTCTTCCCTAGAGAAAGAGTAGAGAAAGCTGTGAGGTTTTTCTGTTTCCCTATTCCTTTCTGACGCATAGTTGTTCCCTCTCTGGCTCCCTTACCTGCTCCTGTGGGTCCATAGGCAAGCACACTAGCATTCTGCCCTTCTAGCAAGTGCCTTAGAATAGGCTGCACTGAACCTGCATAGATGTCCTGCTGAGTACTCCTCTCCCCATAGAATGCATCAAACCTATGGGCCAGAAGAAAGAAGGAAATTAATGTATGTTGAGGGGGAATGTTTCCATTCTCATGTAGACCTTGGATTTAAAAGAATCTCTATTCCTTTTTTTTTTTTTTTTGAGTTGGAGATCCACTCTATCATTCAGGCCACCGCAGCCTTGACCTGCTGGGTTCAGGCGATCCTTCTGCTTCAGCCTTCCAAGTAGCTAGAACTATAGGCCACCATGCCCAGCTAATTTTATTTATTGCCCAGGCTGGTCTCGAACTTGTGGGATCAGGCAATCCTCTCGCTTCTGCCTCCCAAAGTGCTGGGATTACAGGCATGAGCTGCCACACCCAGCCTCCTTTTCTTGCACAAAGGCCTTTAAAAGCATCCACCTAACACCTACTCTGTCCTAGCTTCTGTATTGCTTTTAGGAATACAGACATGAATCTGGTATTCCTACTCTTGGGAGTTTTGCAATCTGGTGGGACAGATAGATATCCATACTTTGCTGTGATTTAGGAAATAAAGATGAGTAACTGCTCAGGGAAGAAGGATTTTGAAATAGTAATATAGTAATTCTTTTTTTTTCTATTTTTTTTTTTTTGAGTCAGAGTCTCTGTCACCCAGACAGGAGTGCAATGACACAATGGCACACTCACAGCCACTGCAGCCTCCATCCGCTGGGCTCAGGTGATCCCTCCACCTCAGCCTTCCAAATAGCTGGAAGTACAGGTGTGTGCCACCACACCTGGCTAATTTTTTGATTTATTATTGAGATGAGGTTTCTCCAATTTGCCTGGGCTGGTCTCGAACCCATGGACTCAGGCAATCCTCTCACCTCAGTTTCCCAAGGTGCTGGGATTACAGGTGTGAGTCACCACGCCTGGCTAAGTAATTCTAAGTATCAAGAATAACACATAGGTTGGGTGCGGTGACTCATACCTGTAATGCCAGCACTTTGGGAGGCTTAGGTAAGAGGACTGCCTGAGCCCATGGGTTTGAGACCAGTCCGGGCAACTTGGTGAGACTTCATCTCTACAATAAATCAAAAATATTAGCCAGGTGTGGTAGCATGGGCAACAGGGTAAGACTCCGACTCAAAAAAAAAAAGAATAACACATAGACAAGGCATAGTATGAAAGGGCAGGGCTTTCAATCTTTTTCACAGGGCAACAAGTATAGAACATTGTATTTGTACCCCATAATAGGGAAAATAGAGGATGCCCCCTACAACTGGACTATACTCAGGCCAATAGCCCACTCATGCACTCTAGTGTAGAAGCTGTAGCTTAAGCCACAGCAGGGAATTGAGTATGTGTTGAGGGGATATGACTGGAAAGAAATCAAAGCCAAACTGTCAAGGGCCTCTTAGGATGGGAGTTGGTACACTTTTTCTGTAAAAAGCCAGATAGTAAATATTTCAGGCTTGGTGAACCATGTGCTTCCCTTTTCAGCTACTCAACTCTGTGAATAGTTAGAAAGCAGCTCTAGACAACATATAAATAAATAATAAAACTTTGTTTACCAAAAGCTTCCTGGTCAGATTTGACCATGGTTTGCCACCCACTGGCCTAGAATAACAAGCCAAGGGGTTTGAACTTTAAATCCCCAATGGAATTTTATTTATTTTTTAGTTGGAGTTTCACAGTGTCACCCAGGCTGGAGTGCAGTGGCATGCTCACAGCCATCACAGCCTTAACCTGCTGGGCTCAGGTGATCTTTCCGCCTCAGCATTCTAAGTAGATGGAACTACAGACATGCACCACAACGCCTGACTAATTTTTTAATTTATTGTAGAGATGAGGTCTTGCCAGTTGCCCAGGTTGGTCTTGAACCCGTGGGCTCAGGCAATCCTCTCACCTCAGCCTCCCAAAGTGCTGAGATTATAAGCGTGAGCCACTGCACCTGGCCCACCCAAAGGATTTTAAAGTAGCTGCTCTTGTGAGTTCTATCCCCAAATCTGGGTGGTCTTTTCTGACACTACCCAGCTACAACCTGGGTTGGCTGGCTGTAGTCTGTGTTTCCCCCAACCCTTCCCATATGTCCCCAGACTTTACTTGGGGCTCACCTGCTCACTTTTGCTGCTTCTTCCTCTCTTTGTGACTATTTCCCCTACAAGACTGTGAATAGTAATATGTCTGATTCGGCCTCCAGTCTTTCCCCTAGTATCCTAAAGAGAACCCATCACAGTGGGCACCAGTGAGCATTTCCTGAATGAACAGTGAGGGTAATAAGGAAGGAGCAAGGATCCTGGGGAGGTAGGTCAGAGAAACTCTCTGGGCAAGTGAATGTGAGTAGGCCTTGGAGACAGGGTGAAGGCAGGAGGGAAGGAAGAGTGACTTGAACCTTACTGGTATTTGAGAGTCTCCTGATGGTTCCTCCAGTTGACAATCTCGAGAGAGCAGCTGTCCATGCCCCGTACACAGGGAGGATCACTTGCTCCAACTATTTCATCCACAAATGGCCGCAGTCGCACAGCCACCCTTACTCGAGCTGGAGGTGGGCGCCGTCTAGCCCCCACCTTGCTTAGCCGGCAGCGACCAGCTCCTGGAGGAGGGACAATAACTTTTAGGCATGAAGTATGGTGGCAGCAGAGGAAGCAGGGACCAGCTTTGCTGGAAGAGTCAGGGGCCACAGCTCGCTTTGGGGAAGCTCCTTCTGCCCTCGTTGTGCTGTGGGTGCCCTCAAGCTCAGCCCCAGTTCCTTCTCTGCTCTGCAAGCAGGTCCAGTGGGATGTAGAGCAGGCTTCCCAGACTGTACTGTATACACAAGTAACCTGGAAGATCTTGTTAAAGTGAAGATTCTGCTTTAGTCCCTGGGGTGATACTTGAGATTTTTCACTTCTAACAAGGTCCCGGGTGATGCTGCTGGGGGCGTGGGGGAGGGTTACGTTTTGAATTATCAAGGTTTAAGTAGACCAGCACTTCACAGGGTTGTTTTAAAGATCAAAATAGTTGACATCTGACCTTACCTAAAACCGGACAATAAGCTGCCTGACTTCTCTGTGCCTCTACTTAACTGGGATTTGCAGTACATACTTAGATGTATGTATATACATGACCGTCCACCCCCCACAAACTGTTAACATACTGTGAACTGTTAATTTCTCTTGATGGAAGATTATATGGGTTTATTGTCTATGCTATCTAGTTCTGTATATTTGCATTAAAAAAAAATGACACCATGGATGTCACTGTTTGGAAGGGACCAGGTTGAAGAGTAGTCCAAGTCCCTTTCTGTCCCAGCTTAGTTGGCAAAAACCACTGACATGTAATTCTTCTCTCTTGTAAACGTTCCATTTAGCTTGCTTCAGATAACTGCATCAAGTCATTAAAAAATAACAATTATGGGCCAGGTATAATGGCTCACATCTGTAATCCCACCACTTTGGGAGGCAGAGGTGGGAGGATCACTGGTGCTCAGGAGACCATCCTGGGCAACATAGTGAGACCCATCTCTTAAAAAAAAAAAAAAAAAATTAAAGAGCCAGGCATGGTGGTGCCCACCTGTAGTCCCAGCTACTCTGGAAAGGCCAAGGCAGAAGGATCATCTGAGCCCAGGAGTTCCGGGCTGCAGTGAGCTATGATCATGCCACTGCACTCCAGACTGGGCAACACAGTGGGTGACAGAGCACTCCAGCCTCCACTGAAGGGGGAAAAAAAGACAATTATAAATTATTTGTATCATCAGAAAACACAATGAAAATAAAACTAAAAAAACTTTTTGGTCAGGCGCAGTGGCTCATGCCTGTGATCCTAGCACCTGAGGAGGCTAAGGCAGGATTGCTTGAACACTGGAACTGGAGACCAGCCTGGGCAACACAGTGAGACCTCATCTCTACAAAAAATACAAAAATTAGTTGGGCATGATGGTGTGTGCCTGTAGTCCTAGCTACTCAGGAGGCTGAGGTAGGAGAATCGCCTGAATCCAGAAGGTCAAGGTTGTGGTGAGCCAGGATCGTGCCACTGCATTCCAGCCTGGTAACAGAATGAGACCCTGTCTCAAAAAATTTTTTAAAAATTTGTTTTTAGTTTCTTTCTTTCTTTTTATTATATATACATTGTTTTTAGTTTCTATCTTTGTGAGGATTAAATGAGCTGAAAACATCTTATGAGGAGGGTCTTACTCTACTTTATGTTGGAGGACAGCATATTGTAGCTCACAGCTAATAACAGAACTCAAAACTAGATCTTCCCCTGTAAAAATCTGCTTTTAGGCCAGGTGCGGCCGCTCACGCCTATGATCCCAGCATTTTGGGAGGAGGAGGTGAGAGAATTGCCTGAGTCCACAGGTTTGAGACCAGCCTGGACAACTTGGCGAGACCACATCTCTACAATAAAAACCAAAAAATTAGCTGGGCATGGTGGCACGCGCCTGTAGTTCCAGCTACTTGGAAGGCTGAGGCAGAAGGATCACCTGAGCCCAGCAGGTCAACGCTGGGGTGGCCATGAGCATGCCACTGCACTCTAGCCTGGGCGGCAGAGTGAGACTCTGACTCAAAAAGAAAAAAAAAGATCTGGATTAAGTTCCAGCTCTAACATTTATTAGTGTGTGCCCTTGAGCAAGTGACTTAATATCCACATACCTTGGTTTCCTTATCCATAAAATGGGGTAAGATGGACCTTGGAAGGGCTTTATGAGGATTAAAAGAAGTAACAGGTAAAATGCCAGTATAGTGACTAGCACATAGTAGGTAGGTTCATTATTCAAGGTAAAATGGCCTGGGTTCAAATCCCAGCTCTGCCTATGAAAACTAACTAAATAACCTGAGGAGATGATTTTCCATCAGTTTCCTTAGCTGCAAAACGGGAATAAATACAAATACCTACTTGTTGGGTTGTTAGGGGAGTAAATTAAGGTAACTCTTGTAAAAGTGCTTAGAACAGAACCTGGCATTTGGTAAAAAGTCAGCAAGTGTTTTATATTTATCCCCCATTTTCCAGACGAAGAACCTCAGTATAGAGGGGTTACTTGCCCATGGTCAACAACTAGTTAGTGACAGAGCTTCAAATGAAGATCTAATTCCAAAGTCCTTTATATAAATCCCCAGGCCTCCTCAGCCCCTTCATCTTTATATCCCCCAAGGACTTGAAGTCAGAGACAATTTCCACCTACTAGCTATGTGACCTTGGGAAGGTTATTTAACCACTGCAAGCCTCCATTTCTCTTATAAAAATAACAGTACCTACCCCCATAACAATGGGAGGATTCAAAGTCACACTGTACATACAACGTTTAGCACAATGCTTGGCAGCAAGTGTTAAGTCCTTAGCTGTTGTTATTACACCCTTTCTCTTGCTATCTATTCCTCAACCCCTTCAACTTGCTTCTACCCTCACTATTCAGCAGGATCACCCATGACCTCCCTGTTGCTAGATCTGGTAGGTACACTCAGTCTCGATCCTGTTGGACTTCCAGTAGTATTCATCACTCTTGGGAGACATGCTTTTTCTAGTAGTTTCCATACCGTCCACTTTCCTGGTTGTCTTACTACCTCTCTGTTCACTCCTAAGTTCTGCCAGTCTTAAATGTTTTTCCTAGGCTCCTTCTGTCCTATCTCTAGACCAAGGTTTCTCAATGTCAGCACTAGTGACATTTTGGGTTGGCTCTTTGTTGTGGGGCTGTCCTGTGTATTTAGGCTGTTAACACATACCTACCATATGCTAGTAGCACTCTCATTCCAGACCTCAAGTTGTAACAACCAAAAATGGCTGCACACACCTGTAAATGTCCTATGAGGGACAAAGCTGCCCTCAGGGGAGACCACTCAAATTCATTTCATGGAAATGGTCGTCTGTCCGCTTGGCTTCAATAACATCTTAAAGCTATGACTCCTATTCCACACTCCACACCAGAGCTGTCAACTGCAGATCCACATTCTGAATTGCTGCCCTGACATCTTCTCTTAAAACGTTATCAGTACCTCAAACTCCACCTGTCCTAAACTGAACCCTTCGCCACCTCTCTGCAACTTCATCCTCCTCTTTTGATCTCTACTGTAAATGAATAGCACCAGCCCCAAAAGTGGGAGTCTTTAACTCCACCTTCACTTACCTCCTACATCAGTTCATCACTAACATGTATCAAGCCTATCTTCAAAAATATCTCGAGTCCACTTCTCTCCATCCCCACTGTACTACCTCTGCCCAAGGTCATTAACATCATTACCTTAATGCCTGTCTCCCTGCCCTCCAGCTCACTCCCCTCCAATCATTCTCTCCACTTCCTTCCTTGCACTCTAAGCTCTCAGCCATGATGAATTTCCTTCAGTTCCTACAAAACACCAGGTGCTCTCACACTTTTGGGCCCTTTGGACACACTATTCTCTCTCCTTAGAATATTGTCTTCACCACCTCCCCTTACCCAGCGTGATTAAGGTAAACAATTAAATCCTAATTCCTCTTAAAAAAAAAAAATCCTTCCCTTGTAGACATGATTACCTTTACCGGGTGCACCCACAGCTCTCTCCAGCTCCTCCGTAAGCACTCATCACATCCCACTGTAATTGTATGTGTCATTTTCCTCCATCTGACTGATATTTTTTTTTTTTTTTGAGTTGGAGTCTCACTCTGTCGCCCAGACTGGAGTGCAGTGGCCGCTCCCGGCCACCGCAGCCTCGACCTGCTGGGCTCCAGCGATCCTTCCACCTCAGCCTTCCAAGTAGCTGGAACTACAGGTGCGCGCTACCACACCCGGCTGATTTTTTGATTTATTGTAGAGGTGAGGTCTCGCTGCCCAGGCGGGTCTCGAACCCGCGGGCTCAGGCAATCCACTCACCTCAGCCTCCCAAAGGCGCGGGATTATAGGCTGAGCCACCCAGCCCGGCTCTGACTGATATTTTATCCTGCTCACCTATCTCCAATGCCTGACACAGAGTAAGAGCTCAGGGAGTACTTGCAGAAAAAAACTTAAGATTTGGTGAATAAGCTAACATAATCACTGGCTTGTCTATTTTCCATTTTTGTCATAAAAGTGGCTCACTGCCATTCCTACACCAAGCTCACAGTCTAGGGGAGGAGGGAAGAGGGGAGAGACAGACATAAACAACTGCTTACAGTACAAGAAGAGTCTATCCCCTTTCATCGTAAAAGCAGCCCTGAGGTTGGACGAGGCTAACACTTATTTCTTCTAATTTTCCCCTCTCTCACAATTCCCACATTTCATTCAGTTTAACTCTTCTGCCTTTTATTGATGAAATTAAGCCAAAAATTAAGCCAAAAGCACACATCTCTGGTCTCTCTTGACGTCATAAATAAGAAAACACTAGCTGTTCTTTCTTCCCGGCCAAGGCCTAGCAAACTCCTATCCAACTTTTGGAACTCACCTCAAATATCACTCCCTTAATAAAGTCCTCCCAGAATACCCAAGGGTTTACTTTAGTTTTCACACTTGCTATAGCAGTTTATACACATCTCTCATTGTGTTTCATCATATGACATCTGTTTATGTGACTGTATTGAAACAGACTGTAAATTCCTCTAGAGAAGGGACAATATTCATCCAAGCATTTTTATGATACCTACTATGAACCAAACACAGTGGGTCTTGGA